TTTTTTTCCTTTTGAGTCAGTAACAAAGCTAAAGCTGAAGGCAATTTGGTCATGTCATACTCATCGTGAATATCCATGCGGTGCACGCCAATCTTTGACAAACAAAAGAAAGTGGGTAAGTTAGGAAAAAAGAGTTGCAATCTCATCATTTACCAACTACAGCAACTGTGATTATCAAGTTATTAAGCTTTTGATTGACTTGCACCAATGTTCAGACCCCACTCTCACTTCTTGTCTTCTTAATTAGTTGATATATATCTTATAGATTATAGACAATACCAAAAGAGAGATTTAATGGCAATTTGAAAAAGGGTATGCAATGGTATTGTAAGAGCTCCTTATAGGCATGGGTAATGGAGGAAAAGTAGCAAGAAAAGGTACAAAAATAAGGGTAAGTTTGCTAGGTTGAATGGGAAGGTAGGAGCACAAAACGGAATTCGTGCAGAGTTTAAAAAAAAAATGGGAAGGTAGGAGCAATAAAAAATACAAATAATTGATTCTCTATTCTTTGAAGAACAAAACGCTATTTTTCTCCTCTTTGTTTGAAGAGATGGATGGTAAATTGAATGTACAAATTTGTTATCTCGTTTGGTTTTGTGGTGGGGTTGAGGGAAAAAGAAGAAAAAGCTTCTAAAAATAGTTAGTCATTATAGTTTCATCAGAGATTGAGCGTTGCTATTTGTGTGAGTTAATTAAGTAGGAAAAAGTAAAATCGCTCAACATCTGGGTCTTTTAATTTCCCTCATATTTTGTCTAAATTTGGGAGAAATTTTTGGTAGGATGTAGTGAAAAGCTTTTGCATCAATTTCTATATTGAACCAAAAGAGATAAAAGATTTTTCAAATCTAATTTTTGCCCTCTATTTTCCATTCCCCGCTCCTACATTATACAAAACAGACCATAAAAAAAATGAGTATGGAAGTAGAAGGAAGGATTGAATTTCGTTCTAATACATATTTTTTCAGCTTCCTTCAATTTAAATCAATTAGTATGCCTCTGTGCGTGGAAAGGAGGCTTTGCGCATGAGTCTAGATTGACTATCGGCCACGAGTTCAAATTTGCTCCGTTGGTCAGGAGTTTCTAGGTTATCAAAAAAATTAAAAAGTAAAATCAGTTATTATGATTTTAATTGGAACCAACCTACCAATACAGAAAATGGATTTGAATCCCAAAGACATAATTATACTTAAAACAGTTTAACTCCCTTCCCATTAATGAAGGGCTTAAATATCCTTTGCTAATTTATAAACTGTAGAGTTTGACCAAGCATTGCTGGATGCAAATTTGCCAGGTGTACGGCCAATAAGATTTGGGGGCCTTGCCTCAGTGGCAATCTTATTGCATGAGAAGAAACACAAAGGGCCCACAATCAGCATGAAGAGAAAGATATTGTCGCCAAGGTGGGGTTTATGAGTAGAAAAGCTGAGAGAGACCTGTGAATGATCAATTGCCAGTGCATTGGGAGAGGTCATTGTGAGCTTGAATGATACAACTCCAAAGTCCAAAGAACATAAAAACAAGATACTATAGCAGTATCTCACATCTGTTTCGGTAGGGTGTATGTGTGTGTATGTGTATGTGCTTGTGGGCTAATACTTACAAAATTTAAGACCTAATGTAAGATTACAAACAGATGAGAGAGAGACACAGAAAAGTCACTATTCAGAGGCCATGACAAGCCATTATCTCCATGAAGATTTTTTTTTTTTGATTTGTCACAACTATGTAGAGGCATAACAAACGTACTGCCGAAAGCCCGTGCTGCGTTGCTCGTAATTCTCATCCCCACATATTCTGTTTTTTCATATCGTAATAAATTACTCATTAAATATTCGTCTTACTCCTTCGACTTTTATAATGATGATAGTGGTTTTATAAATTGGAGATATCGGAGTCTATGAATTGTGGATTTAGTTAAAAAAAAAAAGAAGGGACCTTAGCCGTTGAACTCAAAACTTATTAGTATTACTCGAACATGATGCAATTAATAATCACCCTATACTAGTACTAAGATATTTGACACGGTTAATTCAAGTAAAATTTAGAATTACACGACCCAAACCCAAACCCAAATCTAAACCCAAACGGAAGATCATAGGGTTTGATTGCTATCCTTCAAGTAAGAACTGATGGGAGTCTTGAGTCATGACAAATTTTAATGGTCAGGTGACACACCTCCATGATTGTGATCTGTAAACTGTACAACATAGAATCCAAGCATTAGAGTAAGATGGAAGAAGAGGGCCCACATAAATAAAAAGAGAGGAAGGAGAATCTGGGCCCACATGTCCATTGGCTACCCCGTTGGGTAACAAAGAGATGGACCCCGTACAGCGTTGCGAATCATGTCCCTCTCAATACATAGTGGTCGTCAATCCATGACCACAGCCCAACCCTCTTCTTTACCTGTACCCAACAACTCTCTTTACACAAAATAACCCCTTAATGTTAATGAAATATCAAGATTGCCACGTTCTGAGCCGTGAGGTGGGCACTGATCGAGCCAAGACAGTACAGGGGTCTTGGTCCCTGGTGGACATTGATCGAACCAAGACAAGGTGAGAAGTTCGATTCTTCTTGGACCATGGTGGACATTGATTGAGCCACAACAGTGTTGGGTCACCTCACCTTATGACAATGCCTATTTTTCCCTTCACCATTCAGGTCCACACCACGTTGGTACTTGACCATTTGTGGTTTGGCAGCACTGTTTCTTTTTGGATACCCATTTTTAATCACCCAGAATCGCCTAAATCACACTTTTTTTTGGGACATGTAGCTATTCGATATGCTCAGGTATGGAGTCAACTTTCATATAATTAACATCTTATTCCTGTCATTTGGGTTACCACGATAAGATTTTTTATTTTTATTCATAACTTACTGGCAACTAAATAGCGGTGACTATACTATCAAAATTTCTAAATATTCCCAAACAAATTTATCTTCATTCAAGTCCTTTTCAACAATTTAAGTTGTCTTAAATGATAGGATTTTCTCAAGGTCAAGTGATGCTAATTAATATATTGTCGGATCACTGGCCCAATTATCATTCTCATCATATTATTCCCGTCATTCAACTCTAAATATCTTAATCCATGATCTTTGAAAAAAAAAATTGCAGTCCCTCATTGGGTGGTGAGAATCAAATCGAAGGTTCGTTAAGAAAACAACATTATTTCCTATCTTAATCTAAAAAATTTAGGCCATAGATAGGGGTCGAGTATTAATAGTTTAAGAGAAATCATAACCAAATTTCGTAAAATTTAACCAAGAAATTTTCAATTTTTTTTTTTTTTGATTTGTTGATTAGGTCACTAAGCCATCGTTTCCGGTAACAAGCAGCTAAATCAACTGTGATAGACAATATAATTGTCGGAGTTGCATGAGATATTAGACACGACAAATGTGTCACATACAAATATCAAGCATTTTTTTATCACTCCTAGGTTTGCTGATTTATCAAGGACGACCCCATAATTGCATCAGCCTCAGCAGTCACCCTTCATTGACGTTGTTATCAAACACTTGATAAGAAGAATTTAAACTTTGCCCCCAAAGAATCCAATGCTAAACAAGTTGACAAATACCTTCAACTGCCAAATTTTAATGCATTTTGGCGTTACTTTAGCCAAAAACTTCATGACCAAAAGTCTCTACACTCTTTCGTGGTAAACACACCTATACATATCGAATAGAAAGCAGTGTATGAGAAATTACTTTTTAACTTATGAGTTAAATCAAGATTCGAAGAGAACAATTAAGATGTATCTTATACGATTGCTTACCAACTATACAAGTCCTGATTGACCGTTACAAATGTTGAGAGTACGGTGCGTGCAACACTCTCCAAATGGAAATTACCTCCTGAAAAGGGTTAATGTTAGCTTTGAGGGAGATAATTCTCCCGAAGTTAACTTTTTTTACTTTTAAGATGTATTCCATAAATTCAGAGTCACTCCAACATGTTAAAACTTTTTCTTTAACTCTTTTGAAACTATTAAGTTATAATTTTAAATCGATAGAGTCACAACGTGATCCAATGAAAAATTGGTACAATACCCTAGTCTTTTTTTTTTTATTATTTAATAGCACTCCAAACTAGTTTACACATACGTCGGATAATTATCTTTAAATCTATCAAAGATTTAATACCCTGGTCTTTTCCTACATGCAGAATAACAATAGTTTTCTTCTTTTCACACAAGTGGATAGACAACATTAAATGGCCATGGCCCTCCTGCATAATTGCATGAAAGGATCTTTCTGTTATTACCGTTACTTACAAGGGCACTCTTGATTGAGGCCATTTATAAAAATACACTTGTGCCCCCCCCCCCCCCCCCCCCAATTGTTGAGAATAGTTAAAAGCCATCTTTGATAGACGTATTCCTCTTTAGCCCTCCTTTTTTCGTAAATTAATTATATACCCACTAATAACACAAACTTTATGCTTTTATTTTACGTAAATATAAGTAGATTACATTAATATGATCATAGGCGGCGTATGATGTTACGTATAAAATAGTGTCTGACTAAAATAATCCGGGGTTGAAGAATAGAAGTGTGAAAAAGAAAGAAATGGTGTGGCAATGATGAGGGAGAAGGGCAAAAGTGGGCGCAGGATAAGCATGTGGGCGTCGCCTTTCTCTCATTGCTTGCACGCTGGCATGGAGGGTAGCTAGCACAGCTTAATCAAAGGGGTCTAAAACTTTAAACCAAATTCTGTTGAAGTTCACAAAAACAGTTTTGCTATTTCCGGCGAATGATTGGCAGTTTCTTCTTGAGAGTATCAAAAACAACCTTAAATTTTCAGGTTCCTGTCATATTTTATCTCTCTCTCTCTCTCTCTCTCTCTCTCTAGATTAAGTAATGCTTAGTTACATAACAAATTATAGGTTTAGTTATAGGAAACTATGGTTAAGAGTGTATTTGTTTTAGAGGTCTAGTGTCTTTTTTCTGGGTTTTTTCTTTATTGAGTTGATTTGGTTTGTTGATATTGATGGGATGGGTGTGCCCGTGATCTATTTTGTATGTCTAAATCAAATGGGGTATAAAATTTGACTGAAATGACAAGGACTTTGGTGGGTTTAATTTTTCTGGGCTTATTTCATACTGCCATTGCTGATATATGTTACATTTATACTTGCCCAAATATAGAACCTTCATCAGAACTTCTTGGTGTTCCTTGGTCCTTGGATTCTCTGTCCTGGAAAATTCTCTATTCTTTTCCTTTACTTACTGAGATTGTTTTTTCTTTATTAGGTTGAGATCAGTTTGTGTTTGATATTTTTCCTCTTTGGCTGAGTTTGGAGAATTAAGTACTGGAAAAGGGTTTTCTTAATCTTGGTCTAGCTCGGAGATCTATTGGTTGTAGTAGGTGAAACATTTTGCTTCATGTGGCGTTTTAAACTATAAAGAGTGAAGCTTTCATCAGTTATGAAGTTGGGTTTGTCTGGTTCTGCATATCTGGTGAAGAGCCAACTATAGAAAGGGGAAAAAGAAGGTTCAGACATGAAGTTTATGAAACTTGGATCTCGGCCGGATACTTTCTACACCACTGAGGCTGTGAGGTACTTGTTTATTGCCTCTTTGATCTGGACTGAACAGTATTGCTGACTAAAGAGGGGTTTTTACAGATTATATTTCTGTTTTGTATATTGGGGAAAGGTGGTAATTTTCGATTTCTTGATGCAGGTCAGTCTCCTCAGAAGTCTCTAGTGATCTCATAGTTCAAGTGAAGGGAAGTAGATATTTGCTTCACAAGGTAAAACCATATTTTACTATTATGTTCTTTTTCTGACATAATATGGGATGCTTATTGTGAAAAATGATGAATCCAACTTAATATTCTTCATTGGTGCTTTGAATTCATGGTTTTGGTTTGTAAACAGTTTCCTCTGCTATCCAAATGTTTAAAACTCCAGAGGTTGTGCTCTGAATCTCCTGAATCCTCAAACCACCAAATCGTCCAACTCCCTGATTTTCCTGGTGGAATTGAGGCATTTGAACTATGTGCAAAATTCTGCTATGGTATCACAATCACTCTAAGTGCCTTAAACATTGTATCGGCTCGTTGCGCTGCCGAGTACCTCCAGATGACAGAGGATGTTGAGAAGGGGAACCTTATATACAAGCTTGAAGTTTTCTTCAATTCCTGCGTACTCCAAGGGTGGAAAGATAATATTGTGACCTTACAAAGCACCAAAGCCTTTCCTTCGTGGGCAGAAGACCTTGGTATTACAAGTAAATGCATTGAGTCTATTGCTTCAAAAGTTCTAGCCCACCCCTTGAAGATTAATCTGTCACACAGTTATTCAAGAAGAGGTAGAGATGAAGTTTCATGTAATGGAGGAGAGAGTCAGAGGCATAAACCGACAAGCAAGGGATGGTGGGCTGAAGATATAGCAGAATTGACCATAGACCTTTATTGGAGAACAATGATAGCCATAAAATCTGGTGGGAAGGTACCATCTAATCTCATTGGCGATGCGTTGCGGATCTACGCATCTCGATGGCTGCCTAGGGTGTCAAAAAATATGAACATTGACAAGCAAGAAGAATCTGATACAGACTCTCATACCATTGGGGACATAACTTCAAAGCATAGGCGGCTTTTGGAATCAATAGTGGGCTTATTGCCCGCAGAGAAAGGTGCTGTTTCTTGCAGCTTTCTGCTTAAATTGTTGAAGGCTGCAAATATACTGAGAGCTTCTTCAGATTCAAAGATGGAATTGGCAAGACGGGTTGGAATTCAATTGGAGGAAGCAATAGTTAGTGATCTGTTGATACCCAATCTGTCATATATAAATGATACTATATATGATGTAGACATAGTCATGACCATATTGGAGCAGTTCATGATACAAGGGCAGAGTCCACCAACAAGTCCCCCAAGAGCTAAGGAGGATTTTGAGAGGAGAAGGTCTCGCTCCGCAGAGAATGTTGATTTTGAGTTTCAGGAAAGTAGGAGGTCGTCTTCGGCATCTCATAGCTCTAAACTTAAGGTGGCAAAGCTTGTGGATGGGTATCTCCAAGAAGCAGCCCAGGATGTGAATTTGAGTCTGTCTAAGTTTATCTCACTTGCTGAGGCTGTTCCAGAATTTGCGAGGCTAGATCATGATGATCTATACAGAGCTATTGACATTTATCTCAAGGTAATTTACAAGTGCCAAAATAATTTAGGACTTTGTTCTAGATTTCTTTCATGTTTTGTTTAGCTTCCTCATTCCAAAATTACCACAATTCAAACTATAATCAAAATCAATCGCCACCTCCCAAAGAATAATTTCAAAACAATAATATTTGGACATTGTAGTTGGTTAGAAATTCTGATGAGGGTCACCATCATTTTAGTTGATAACCAACTCCTTTGACATTTGCATTTTGTCATGTTCAGTGTTCTTGTTTGTTCCTAAAATTAGGCAGGTCTCTCTAATGTAGCGTATGGAATCTACATACGTAAGCTGTGGTTTTTGTTAGTCAATCATTGATGTTGACCAAAAAGAAGCAAGAGATGGAAAAAAATGAAAAAATATTCATTTAAAGACATCAAGATTGCATTCTGGGACTAAGAGACACCATCTGGGACCTTTACTTTTTACCTAATGGCCAGCAAAGTCTGAATGTTTGTATTTCTTCCTTCATGTTCACCACATGGATGGGTATAAGTTCACACCTTTTATTGCATTATTGTTTCATCTTGTCGATTTCACTTCTTCGAAAGTCTTTCAGTCAAGTAATTCTCTAGGCATTGCACCTCTGATTCTCTGTATGTGCCTTTACACCCAATTATAACTACTGAAAAACAAAAAATGAAACCAAAATTTGTGTGCCGGAACATACAGGCACACTCAGGCCTCAGCAAGAGTGAAAGGAAACGTCTGTGCCGAGTTCTAGACTGCAAAAAGTTGTCTATGGAGGCCTGTATGCATGCAGCACAAAACGAATTATTGCCACTGAGAGTGGTGGTGCAAGTACTATTCTTTGAGCAAGCTCGAGCAGCCATGGCTGGTGGCCAAGTTACAGAGCTACCTAGCAACATTAAGGCACTTCTAGCTACACACGACGACTCATCAAAGCCTACAGCATCATTAAGCACCAATGCAACTGGGCTAGCAGATGACCAATGGAGTGTCTCAGGCCTCAAATCGCCAAAATCAAAGCTTTCAACTCTCAGGATGAAGCTCGCAGAAGATGACTTGGATGAAAATTTCTCTGATGGTATTGGGAATTCCTCTAGGATCAAGGCTCTCTCTACGCTTCCTAATCGACCTAAAAGACTGTTCAGTAAGTTGTGGTCCATCAATAGAAGTGCAAGTGAAAAGAACTGAGAGGATTTTGTTTAATTTCAGGTTGGGATGGTCATTTGGAGGGTAACTCATACTCTATTGTTCTTCTTTGTTTCCCTTTTTTTTTCCCACTTGTTTGTCTTGTAAGTGGATTTCACCCTCCATTGCAGAGCGTCAAGGAAGTAAATCAGTAATCCTCCTTCATCGATGATGATCATGGTCATTTTCTCTTCCTGAATTGGCGAAAGAAATGACGAGGGATATTGAGTGCAAACAGCTTGATGAACATGGTTCATATGAAATAGATAGAGAAGAGCAGTGATAGACACTTAACTTTCTCTGTTGGCGATGAATTCCGAAAGGCTTTTGAAGATGAAATTGAGTATGATACGACATCTATCAAGTGATGTGGGCAGTAGGGGTTCCAAAACTAGCTAACTTACTCCTTTATCATTAGCCTTCTAAGCAGAAAGTGAAGAGGCATTGCTTCAACATCCTTAATTCTAGAAGACCTATTTGTATGATGTTTGTGGCCAGCAAAAGGGATATAATTTATCTTGAAGAAAGCTGCATACTAACAGTTCTCAAATTTTGCTAAGTTGAATCCACTTGGATGATTATAAATGATCTCAGCCAATCATTATGCCCATACAATTCTTTGTCTTTTTTTTATTCCGAGTATGAAAAACATTAAGATTAATCCAATCAGCATCCAATCCAACAAGGTCTATCTGGGCTCTCTTGGAGGATTAGGTTTTGTTTTTCTTTCAGACTTTTTTTCTGCTTCACTGTAATAGTAATATCTTCTACTTGTAAGAGATCTACCATTGCATAAAAAACATTAGGCATCCACTGTGTTTCAAACCACTCCATCTGCCTCTAAGTAAGCCACGACCCCAAGTTCCCATAACCGAACAGATGACACCCATCTTCTCGCTAAAAACGCTGTCGACCAGCTTCACATTGAGAAAAAATATCTGCATCTCTAGTTTCTGTTACTGTAACATAACATCGAATATGTCTCGTGTCTGTTACGTCATTATCATTAACGTTACGATAACTGTTACCGTTATTCATAACTATGCTCCCTTCCCACCCACCCACCCACCAAAAATAAAGTTAGAAAAAAAAAAAAAGTGGGCGTTAAGCCTAGGCAGGCTAACTAGTAGAAAAGGGCTTAACTTAGCTGATTCTACCAACTAATGTAGCTGAACAAATTTCATATTTACAGGGGCTCACATAGGTGGAGAGCTGCCGAACGAAGCTTGAGAAATTGTTGTGCTTGAAGTATTTGGGGAGAAGATCAGTAGAGAACTTAAAAGAGTCCCACACAATGAAACTGGTACCATTGGAATTCCATGAAACATTGGAATTTGTTTCTAGATCGCCCACCATTCGGTAGGTGTTCGTCAAGAATAGAGGTGGTGGTCTCATCATTATAGACCTAACAGATGTATTAGCAAAATTTACTCCACCATTACCATCGTCTTCGTCACCCCCATCACTACCATCGAGCACTATTATACTAATCTCCCCTGCCTCATCCTTCTCTGACAAACCACCATCAATCTCATCAAGCACCATTGGTTTTTTCTGTTTACTCACTTCGGCACCACCACCGCTCTCCATAAGTGACCTAGAGGGAGTTTTTTTATTCGTCGTTAAAAGTATTAGTTTTGTATTTATTATTTATGATGAATTGCATTGATTTTGAGTTATTAATGGGATAATCCCTTATTTTATAGTTTGATTAATTTTTAATATTTGGTGATTTTATCCGGTAAAATAGGTGAATTGAGCTGAATTGAAGAACATGGTAAATTGACCAGACGAATGAAAATTAGAAGGAAACAAGGAGGCTGAATTGCAATTACAGAATAAGTCGTTGGTCAACAATGGATGGAGTTCTGGATAGATTGGTGCGTCCGGACAGATTGGTGGAATTTGACTAATGTTTTGAGAATAACGATACTTAAGACTTCCACCCAGACGCAATTGTCCCGTCCGAACGCGATTGCTGAAGTTGTTAATTTCATAAATTTCAAAGTGTTAGGATGTGGGGATGCGTGTAGAAGAATATTTGACAATACGTTATATTTTCGTTGGGACACAACTGATTGTTTGAACTCAGCTAATTGACCAAGTCAATACTTTGGACTTGTGTCCGAACACAGCTTCTTCATCCGGATGCGTATACATGAATTAGCATCGCTTATTCCAATTTTCATCAAGGATTTTGATGTATAAATATAGGGAGAGCTGACTTTTGGAGATATCTCTCCATATACCTCTTCTGAGACCTTTTTCATAGTTTATTGTGAAGAATCAACTCATGGCCAGTGAGTAATTCTTTTTTAATTCTCTAGTTGGGTATGGTCTTCATGATTGTTTATTGAATATTTTATGAATGCAATTATATTTTTATAGTTCTTGAATGATGTATCTTTTCAAATATTTCTTGATCGAATGAATCCCTACAACAAATTTTGTTTTTTAGCGACGAATTGACTCGTCGCGAAATGTATAAATTTCGTCGCGGCGACAAACTCATTTCGTCGTTTTTTTGTCGCGTTAGGCTCGTCTGGGAAAGTTTTACCGACAACAAAACTTTCGTTGCCAAAAATACACAATAAGCGACCATACTTTTGCCACCAAACATCTTCTTATTTCGTCGCCAAAAAATATATTATTTTAACCACACAAAATCTTTAGCAACAATTATATTCATCGCAAAATGTGAAAATTTTAACGACCGTTTCTATGTCGTTGCTAAAAACAAGTACACAAAATATTGGCGACAAATATATTTGTCACTCAAAACAACAACCAACGTTTTAGCAAGGACTTTTTTTCGTCGCAAAAAATGATGGAACAATGTTTTAGCGACGACTTGTTTTCGTCGCCCCAAAAAATAAACATGATTAAATCCCATTTGGCCATATAACAATTTAAAAACACCTATATCAACTCAAAAATATTCCAACCACAAAATATCTCAAATATTTGAAAGAAAAGATGTCTGGGTATCCAAAAAGAGCTCTTTATAATCCATCGTTAATCTGTGACAAACACAAAAAACACATTAACGCATTATAGATAAGAAGTAAAAGAAAAGATATATAAATTTTGAGTTTATAGGTTAATAAACTTATTTGACTAATTATTAACTAGATTGATAATTAATTCTTATAATTCCCAGCTTGTCTATAATACTAGTGCTTAACTTATTATTTCTTTTCAATCAAAACAGTTTTCAAAGTTATATTTTCTAGTTGATTATACAAACGTTGAAAGTCAATTGATGCAATTATACAATTGCATGAATATGATATTTAATTTACATGAATGATACCTAATCCCGAATCTAGAGAATATCTTTCTATTATAACAAATTTCTTTAAATTTGTTTCGATTACCTGAACCCAAGTCTCTTTTTATTGTTCTTTCTTTTACCTTAGTGTATCCAAATCAATTCCCTAAGGATTGACTTCGATCTCACCAAATTATTATTACTGCTGACCACTTGCACTTGGTGCACCATTTTCAGAGTCAAACAAATTTTTGGTGCCGTTGTCGAGGAACTGAAAGGATACAGAAGCTGAAAAGAGAAATTCGCCATATCAACGAGCTATTTGGAGAACTAGATTTTATGGGTAACTTCATTCCATCTTTTAGATTTCTGTCAATTTTGTTTTAATCTAAAGTGTTATAAATTGTGCTTGATTTTTGTTGTTTAATTTTTAGTTGCTAGTTTAATTGTTTTTGTTTACAATCATTAGTTAGTTTCATAATTGTATGTCTGGTGGAGATACCTCAGATTCTGATATTGATTCCCCATTTAAAGAGTCTATAGGATCTGTTAGTTCGTCTACATCTTTAGAGTCTAATCAGTCAATTGTTGCCCCTAATTTTGATTTTAGTAGAATGGGCAGTGAAATGGGAGACCTAATAAATAACCATAACCGAGTCCAAGAGGTTAACCAATAAGTCAAAATTCTTAGAGACTATCTGCACCCTACAATGAGCAGTGTCCCGTTATGTTTTATTTTTCCAAAAAATGCATAGAGGTTCACGGTGAAACTTGGCACTATCTAGCTTTTGCTACAATTTCATGGCATTGATTCTGAAAATTCCTATCTTCGTATGAAGGAATTCGATGAGGTATGTGAGACCTTCCAGGATAATTACGAGTTAGCCAAGCTAAAGTTTTTCCCTTTCTCACCAAAGTATAAAGTCAAGCAATAGCTTAATATTCTAAAACCACACTCTATCTCGGACTGGTCTGCACTGCCGAAAGAGTTTTTCAAAAAGTTCTTCCCCATTCACCGTACAAATGCTTTAAAACGTCACATAATGAATTTTTCGGTGAAAGATGAGAGTTTTAAAGATCTCCTCTATGCATATCTGCACCATAGGTTTGAAAGTTGGACCTTTACAGGTTTTTTCTATGACTCTCTTCCTATCCTTGTGTCAATTTGTCGAGATGATGTCACAAGGAGAGTTCATGGATAAAAAATCTAGATGAAGCTTTTGAGTTTTTTGATACTTTGTCTGAGAGTTCCCAAATATGGGACTTGGCCTCATCTGTCAGTTTTGAAAATAGGTTGACCACTTCCCATGTGGGAAAGTATTTGTTAAGAGAGGATGACGATTTAAGGGCTAAGATGATCTCTTTATCTCGAAAGCTTGAAGCTCTAGAGATGAAGAAGGTCAATGAAGTTTTTATTGTGTCACTCACTAAACGTACTTGTGGGATATGTGATTTAGTGGGGCATTTTAATGAGGAATGTCCCACGATTCATACCTTTCAAAAGGCACTATTGGAAAACTCCAACACTATCTACAATTTTTAAAAGACATATAACAACTCCTACTCCGAAACGTATAATCAAGGTTGGAGACAACAACTGAATTTTAGCTGGAGGGGTACACAGTAGCAACAAGCCCAACAACAAGAACCACTGCCGCCACCACCACAATAGCAACAATACCCACCTTAGCAGTCACCCCACAAATGTAGTCTAGTGGACACATTGAACCAATTCATGTAGGCCCAAATACAATACAATACCCAAAACACACAAGCCTACAATGAATTCAAAGCATGGGCTATGCCATCTTTTAATGACATAAGTGGCCACTTATCAAAATTGACCCAAATTATCACTATACAAGAGAAGGGAAAGTTTCTTGCCCAACCAAAACAACCACAAGGTCAATTTCAGATAGGTAACCCTTCATCCATTGACATACAACAAGAACATGTCCAAGTTGTTACTACCCCAAGGAATGGTAAAATAATTGACAAAGGCACACCACGAGTACACATTGAGTTTACCTCTACACTCGTGGTTGAGCCTGTTCAAGTCTCCCCTGCTGAGACCAAGTCTAGAGAAATTGAGGGGCCTCCATACCATATTTCTGCTCCCTTCCCTCAAAGACTCAAGAAACCCCAAAAGATGAGCAATTATGTCAATATTTATGAGTTTTTCAAGAAAGTAAAAATCAACATTCCACTTCTAGATGCCATCAACTAGGTCTCTTCCTATGCCAAGTTCCTTATGGATTTATGTACTGTCAAAAGGAATCAAAATATTCAAAATATGACATTTTTGACTGAATAGGACAGTGACATTATCTAACACAAGACAACTCCTAAATTTAAACACCCAAGGTTTCCCATTATCTCTTGTGCCATAGGAAACTTCAAGATTGAGCAAGCTTTACTTGAACTTGAATCCAACGTCAACTTACTCCTTTACTCTATCTACCAACTGTTAGGATTAGGCGAGCTCAAGCCTATATGCATCACACTTCAGTTGGCAGACCGTTCTATTAAAATTTCTAGGGAAATAGTTGAGGGTGTATTTATTCAGGTGGATAAGTTTTATTTTCCTATTGACTTCATTATTTTGGACAGTCAACCAGTTGTGCATTCAGGGAGTCAAATTCTCAAAATATTTGATAGACCATTCCTTACAACTTCTAATGCTTTAATCAATTGTAAGAATGGAGTCATGAATCTTTCTTTTGGCAATATGACGAGGGAATTAAATATTTTAATATCGATAAACAACCTAGGGAGGATTTTGATTTTCATGAAGTAAATATGATTAATTTTATTGTGAAAGATCAATTTGATACCTCTCATTGTCTATATCACTTTAAAGTTGTTTGCCTAGTTCAGTTTATGATGGAGGTACTGGGGGGTATTCTAAGTCTTCATACTTTAATAATTTCTCAAATTTTTCATAGGATTGAGAAGTGCAGCAAGATCCAGTAGCGGTTGAGAAAGTGTTACCACCTGATAAGGTAAAACAAGTATTGAAAGGTGGTACGGTGACCAATTCAAATTTGAATCCAGATTAAATCAGATGATTGCTACTTTTGTATTGTATAGTAGGATTTTATTTAATTTCTTTTGTTGCGTAAAGCTTTTGATTTATAGGATTTGGTAAAGATGATGTAGTTATATGTATTTCTCTTCCTCACCTAAATTAATCTTTATGAGTTCTTCCTGTTTTTATTATACATTGTGGACAATGCATGATTTAGGTTGGTGTTGGAATAGTTTGTGATGCAAAGGGGTGGAATAGTTTGTGATGCAAGATCTTTATCTTTAAATTTTAATTTTGTGAAGTGTTTAA